TCGCGTTATGTCCGAAGGAGCAGCTCAATCTTAGTGCACTCCTCATCCTAATGAAGTAAATGGTAAGGTTACTTGAAAAGTTGATATTATTAGCAATAGATTATGACACAACAATAAACCTTTTGGCACCTCTGAAAAAAATATCCATGAAAACCTCAAAAATATTATCAAGTCAAATTATATTTTATCAAATTTACAATAAAACAAATTTGCATCCATTGACAACGATCAATTGTATTTGTTTAAGATCAGGAGACACGGCAGTGTGTCTCGGCGCTAAGACAAGCCCAGTGACATGTTATGACGTGAAACCGGTCGAAATCTTACATGCATTCTACATATAAGCCTAAATATTAGTAATAAATCAGAAGTCAGAAGTTAGAAACTGACTCATCATAGTCAATTATTGTTCTTACATTTGACTGTGATTGATCTTCCGGTTTATTATTAATAGTTTATTATAGAATGGCCATTACACACAAATAAACACATATTATACATAAATAATAATTACTTGTTTCAAAATCGAAATCATTTTCGGTAGTTTAAAAGACTATATACATACAAATTCACACAGAATTATACAAACACTAAGATCCAATTACTATGGACTTAATTAAAGGCATTTATTTCTATTGGTTCTCGTTCTCACATGTACGATGAGATTTAGTATTTAATATAATAATATTACTTGCTTCAAGTATGTTAAAAATTCATATATACAAATCTATAATAAATTCATCACAAGTATTAAATTTACTCAAAATATATTCCTAAGTTTCGTACACACTCGATTAAGATTATTAAATTGAAACAAATTCGATTTGCTTGTTACATAAAGTCATTTCTTCGATCAATTCTGTAATATTCTTCAAAAGAAAATAAATTCTTGTTTGGAGTATATAAGAAGGAGTTTTTAAAAATTTGTAATAATTAATAAGTATTTTTTTTTTTAAATTATTATCAAGAAAATATTTTTTGTTAAAGAAAAAAAAATAACTGTAGTTATTATTTAAAAAGAAGGGAGCGTAAAATAGATGTGTAATCGCTTTTCTTAATAATAAAATGATATTTTTGTGTATAGCGAAACATTTTTCCTGATATAACTTAATCGGACATGCGCGAACATACCTTGGTATAATATAAGTTGATAACAATATTCATCCAATTATTACGGTGTCAGTGTTATCCATTTAAGTTTAAAATGCTGGTTTCATTAGCAAAATCTACATAGTCAGCAGCGACTTATTGAGTCGCGCTAAAATCTCGTCGTAAATCACAGAAAATAAAACGGAATAGCCATTTTGTGAATGGCGCTTTTGTCGCTTTCGCTTCCCTCGACCATGATCGTACATCGACAAATGCAACTTTGATTCGCATGGCTAAAATCAATCAATTCGAAAATTACGAAATTTCTCACTGTCATTCATATTTTGTTAGCACTCTTATTTTTCTTATTTCGTTTCCGAACCCGTGGTTATCCGATCAGAACAAAATTTATGCATCCGTGAAAATCTCGCGAAATTTTTTACATATCGAATTCCGAAACAAAGACAATCAAGTTGAATCCACGATGGAGGGGAACGAACGGAGTGGAAAATACGGATTATGTCTGATCGTGAAGAGCACCGAGATGCTGCCGGCGCCCTCGGCAAATATCAAAACTCCAATACGAAATGAAAAGAAAACAATTTACCTGAAGCCGCGGTGAAAGCTAGTGAAAGCCTCCGGCGCGAGTCGATATCCTGAACCGCGTTGAAACAGATGCAAATTCAGACGTGAATTAGTATTCGTGTGCCAGAGCATAAGCGCATCCGCGATATAGCCGGCAAACCGACCGTTATAAAAGCCGCAACGAACGCGATCGATGTGGTTTTTAATCCGTTGGATTAAAAGGATTATCACCTCGTCCCCCTCGTTGACTTGACAAAATTTCCGATAGACCGTCGACCGCGTTCGAAAACCGCCTCGATTGCGCTCAATCTGAATATGTCGCGCTTCGCACGTCGTTTTGGCGTGCCAACTTCATGGTGGCGACATCCCGCGTCCCGCGTCGGTACAGCAGAACAAATAGCAATTTTCGTGTTTCTGTCATATCAACGGTCAAACTTCCAATGGATTGCTGTTTTATTGATTTAGGCTTGATTGCATCAACGTTACTGTGATTTTAAGTGAGGCTAAAGGTATATCCATACAAACTTGCATAGCCGCATAAACGTATGCATAAGGAAAATTATCCAATCACATTTTACGTGCGTTTATATAGGAGAAATGCGATTGGATAATTTTGCAAGTTTGTGTGGATATACCCTAATGGCCGCAGCACAATCTCTTGCATAAAGTTTAATGCATAGTGCATAAGGGAATCAATCAATCGAAATTCTTCATTTTCCATGGAATGGGAGGAAAGAAAAGATTAGCTTGTGAAGTTGATTCGCTTGTGCACTATGCTTTATGCAAAAGTCTACGGCCTTAAAATGGAGAGCACAGATTCTTATATGTATATAACGTATAAAACACAACGCATAAGAAAATGAACCAATCAAAGTCCTTTACTTTCTTCCTTTTTATAAAATAAACTCTAAAAAGACTCTAATTGGTTAATTTTCTTATGCTTCATGTTTTATGTGGTACTCAGCAAATGAGAATGGATTAAAATGGATTAAAATTTGTTTCTATCCGAATGCGTATTTTAAATACCTTTCTTGGATTTAATTGGAATACTTTTCTTGGATTTAATTGGATTCAATTGGATGCAATTGGATTGAAAAACTGCATTTCCTATTCCAAATTTTGAATTAAACAGTATTCACAATGCACAGAAAAAGCTAATATTATTTTTATATTGAAAGACATAGAAATATGCTCCATGCAATTCCTATAAATGAATAAAAATTCAGAATTGAAAAGCGTTCATTTTAACATTCGTGAATCAATATTTCTGAAAATCTGAATCCATTTCAATTCATTTCAATCCATTCTCATTTGCTGGGTATGCAAGAGTTTGTAGTCTCCGCTTATATAAAACGTTTATTTGTTTTCATTTAACATTTGACAAACAAGGATAAAATGATTTTTAAGCATTGTGAGTGTGAATCGGACTATGGCCTTAAGCGAGGAGCACAGACTCTTGCATAACGCATAATACATAAGCATAAGAAATTCAACCAATCAGAAGTCTTTATTTCACGGAAGGGGAGGAAACGGAGGACTTTAATTGGTTTATTTTCTTATGCAATACGTGTTATGCATTATGCAAGAGTCTGTGCTCCCCGCTTTAGGCAAATCGAAACTGCATATGCGCAATTCAACTTTTCACTAAATAGGGAGTTTTTGCAATAACGAATATACGATAAACGCTAAAGTCACGTTATCCTTTTCTTAATTAGTTGTTACAAAGAAAACCTGACCTTAGCGTTCACTATATTTGGATAAACGGTTGCAAAAACTCTCTATTACAAGCCTACATTCCAAAATTCGTTCTCTCTGAAAAAAATTTTACTCGATATAAGTAATAGTTAATTTACACACAAGTGAAACTAAGTCTGTCTAAGGTGAGTTGAGTATTTCATACTCAAATTATAAATACGGTGATCATATTTTTTAAAAGAAAATAAAGGACATAAATCTGAAAATTTTAGGGCTTTGTTCTACATATTTTCAAACTAGTTTGTATAACTGACAAGAATCTGTGCACTATAAAATTTTATGGCACAGTATAATCAAAAATTGAAATAATGAGTAGTTTTCTAATAGTTTGAAACTGTATTGGAACAGACCCTTGATCCGAAGCACCGACAAGATACTATTAAAGACCTTCGACCCTGGGTAAATTTTCGTGATTGGGAATAATTGAAGAACAATAACGTTACCGACAATTAATAAAAATTTACGATTATTAACATAAATATTTCGATGATACGTTATTAAATTCGTGATTTTTTTATTATATAAAAGCTGCATAAATAAGTATATGTGTTATACTGTTAATGATATAATATCATATAAATTACAATTTTTCCTCTGCAGTTATTATCTCTATTGATAATCAAACTTGGATGATATCATTAAAATCACAGTTTTCAATAAAAATCGAGTATTATTAAGTTTTAATCACATGTACATGTCTATAAAACTAATTATTAAACCTAATTAAATTATTAAAACTAATTAAATTAGAAAATTAATACCGTATTACTATAGTTTATTACTCTTAATCACTTAAATTTTAGCAGAATACGCGAATTTCCATAAACACTTTATGGAATTTTTAAAGGATTTTTAAAGCCGGTTCTACATCAGTTGCAAGCCGATCGCAAAATTGTTGTGACAGCCAATCTGAAACTTGCATATTGAAATCAACTCTTTATATTGGATGTCGCAACAAACTTGCAATCAGCTTGCAATTAATGTAAAACCGCCTTTAGGACGCGGTCCGATTCACGCTTACAACGCTTAAAAATTATTTCATCCTTGTTGTTTGTCAAATGTTAAATGAAGACAAACGATGCTCATGAGCGTTGTCAGCATGAATCGGATGACCTTAAAAATGGGCGATTGCGATTCGTTGATTAGTTACGAAGATACAGAACAAATAAATATATTTTTTTTTAACTTTTAGACGTGGCTTAAGAATACAAAACATAAATAATAAGGAAGCCCACAACCACAAGATATCTTTAATGAAAGACGTATATTTAAATTTAAAAATTTTAATATAATAAAGTAGATGTTTAAAGCCGCTTTTAAGCGCTTGTAATCATTATTCAGTCTTTATTAGACATGTCGTTCATTAGACATAAAAGAAATACTGAAAAGAGTTAAAAGCGTCTCGGTAGCCTTGATTTGGGGTACATTTTATTCTCGTTTAATATAATGAACAAGGATAAAATGATGCATCTAGGGTGAAGTTTCTGAACAATCATGTTTGCATGAATCTCGTTCTACGTTCTATTTCTATGCATGATAATATCATGCTTGTATGACTGTTTCTAGTCTAGTCGGCATTCGAATTAGTCGTGTGTTACGTTTAGTAAGAGGCGGATATGTTTTGTCTCGCTTCGAGTATTCATTATTTTTTGAAAAGCGTTGTCGGCTTCAACTGTGCCTAGTCCGACTGGCCAAGTGAATCTCGTTAAGAGAACCAGGGCCAACTAAAAACGAAGAAGAAGAAGAAAAAGGCATTCGAATTTCGTAATCGGCGTCAGTCCACATCACAGTCGGTACAAGTCGGCATGGATGATGGAAGTTACTCGACTTATTTGTAGTGACGCGTTCCTAACTGTATTGACATTGACCTTCATTTGAAAATAGGTGCTATAAACAAAAAGAAGCTGCTGTGAAGCGTTCGCTGTTATTGTGCTACATATCCTTCAATATTCTCACTTTAGCAATTCTAACATTACTGCTACATAATTGCTAACCTAACCTATATTCGTGTAAACTAATGACTCGTTAACGTATTTATGTGATTTTATATTGATATTTAGACAGCTGTATGCTTATTTATGACAATAAATAATGGCGTCAGGATTAGAGAGTTACGTGAATCGTATCCTTTTTATATAATTTATCATTCAACCGAGTTGTGACGGACATAATAAATATATTAACCTAGGCGCTTCGATCTTTTAATATAAACGGTTTCGTTTCCAATCATATTGTAAATATATTAATCTTTAACTGACTAAAAAAACTTTACTTAGATACAGTTTCCATTATCACGTCGGATGGAAGGAATTTCATTGTGAGTACCCAGATTATTTGCAAAATTATGAAAATTCCGATTTACATACATACATAATTTGTAATTGTGTTGTACTTTGCTCAGAAATATAATTACAGTAGAATACAATACTATGTTTACATTATTTTGTAACTCATGATTATTAAATTTAAATATTTCTATATTTACGCAACTTTTGATATTAAAGTTTTATTGACAGAATGTAATTGTGCAGCTGAATTTTTTTAAATATGAAATATTTGGATAGCATTATCAGATCATTCTAGTTTAATGTCTTACAAATATTTCAAAAATAAAGCTATAGTTCTTTGAAAATATTTCTCACAAATGTTATTATATTTCAAAACTTTAGTTATATAATTGCATTCTGCTAAAAAATAAAATTTTAATATCAACAGTAGTATGTTGAAAAGTTAGTTGAAAAAAAGTTATATGTTTAATATCCCTAATAATGATTCAGCTTATCTTCATAAATCAAGTTTTTATTTTAGGGTACTCTGAAAGGTTTTGATCAAACTATCAATCTAATTTTGGATGAATCACACGAGCGTGTATATAGTACGACACAAGGAGTGGAGCAGGTTGTCTTGGGTTTGCACATTATCAGAGGAGATAATGTGTCAGTATAATTTCTTGAGATATAAACTGTGTACACACAAAAGTAGTTTTAATAATCGTATTATAATAATTGTTCCTTTTATTATTACAGTATTTATCACTAGAAAAATATAGAAAAATAATTTCACTTTGCACTAACATTTATATGAAAATAAATATCTAACATAAATATTCATGAAGAATACACATTACTTATCATGATGTACTTCTTTTTCAGAGCGATAGTAGGAGAGATAGACGACGAAATGGACGCGAGATTGGATCTATCAACAATACGAGCTGACCCCCTAAGTTCTATTACCCATTAATGAATAGATCTAAAGTTGCAATTTGGAATCGTCGTCTATTCTCATCAAAGTTTAAAATAAAAACAATCGCGAGCATTATAAGAAAAAAAAGTAATACAACTTTTCACATAGGTTGTATATTGTACAAAAATCTTCCATTTGTCATATGTAGACATGTTTAGCATATAATAACTGTATTTTAAAAAGTGCACAGAGTTAATACAGCAGTATTTACATCATTGAAACAAACCAAAAACTTTCGTTTGAATCAACAACTCATCTGTACAAAAATCTTGCTACATATAATAATAGTAAAGTTTACAAATGTAATTTCGCTCTGCGTTTATGTAATGTAGCAATAATAATAAACAAAAATGTATAGATTAACATCGATTAAGGTCTATAATTCAGTGAGTCAGTATCCTGTATCTATTTTTAGATTCATGTCAAAGAAGATACATATAGCTAGAAATTTCTGCTTTTTTAAATCGCAATATTATCATTAAAGTTCAGACACGCAAGTCCGTACTACCAAAAAGAATCAGTAGAGGAGCTAAATAATTAATCTGCATCGGAAGTGTGCGAAATTATAGAAATTACAAATTATATTATGATACTTCGATATACGATTTGCGTGTTTCTAATCGTTTGGAATTTACACATATTCATATATCTTCTTTAAAGCGTAAAAAAGTACTGAATTACATATTTTGTAAAATCGATATACATTAATTTTCTTTACAAAATATTGCAGTTTATCTTAGAATCTCTACATCTCCATGATACGTAAAGTTGTACATTTACGAATCGACATGGATATCAATCGTGAAAAGTAATAACACGTGTCGTACAGATCGCAGGCATTCGCATGTCTTTTGTGGAAGACGTTAATTATCAATTCAATCATCTTTAACATTCACTTGACATTTTAGATGTTCGTTTATTTTCGATTAATTATTTCGGCGCGACTTACGTGTGCTAAGTGTCTTTTCGTAGAATCTATTTATTGTAAACGAATGGATACATATTTGTAATTGCCTACATATAAATATCTCCTATATTATGAACTTACATGTTTAATGTTCTTGAGAATTATGCAACAAATTACAAATAAAGAGTGATGGATCCGGTATAGTCTGAGTGTTGGAATACACCAACTTTTATGTGGTATTCCGAAGGAAAATTGCACATATATGAGCATTGTGATATAGCTTCTCATTTATTATAATTTAAAATTTACGTACCATGAGCCATCGCTTCTCAATCTATTCATAATCATCATTGAACGTTTGTTATATTAATCAAATCTTTCTCTAGAGTAAATCTACAGATTTAATTTTATATAAATCAAAGAATGTGTATACATATTGATAATTATTTGTAAAGAATATTTATAAATATTTACATATTTTTATAGATTTGTAAGGAATAAATCTGTAGAACTACACAAGAGAGTACCTTGATATTTATCAATACACGAAAATAAATTGGAAAGACTTCAAAATATTTTTTTGAGTGTTACATGCACGCATATATACACACGCGAATTCTATCGCTTGTGAGAATTATAATGAAAGGTGTTCACAATCTATTTTCCCTAATATATCTTTTAATTGTTGGTCACCATATTGGTCCTACTGCGATTTCTTCGGCGAACACGGCCTCCGCGCTGCCTACTGCCCCAATCGTCACTATTCATCGGACCAAAATTGGGTCCACTTGATCCATTTGGACCGAACGGATCATTGCTACCGCCATTAGGTCCTCCAAAATTATTGAAATTGCCACCGCAAGGATAAGGCGGCCCTCCCTCGTAATTATCCGGTCCGAAGTTACCGGGCCCAGGGCCCAACAATCCGGCTCCATTGTTACGCTGCGCGTTAAAACGTGGATCGAAATTCATCTGACCTTGGGGCGGCATCGGAACAGGTCCATTCATACCCATCGACGGACCATGTGGCATACCCATGGGCGGTATATTCTGCGGTGGCATCGGTCCAGCGTTCATCATAGGTCTCATTGGACCCATGTTACCCATGTTCATTGGATGGTTTGGACCCATTGGACCTATCATACTTTGAGGTGGACCCGGAATACCGCCAGGCAGTGGACCGCCAGGCATACCAGGTCTCACTTGCATGCTGGCGGGACCAAGACCGATGTTGGATCCCATTGTCTCCATTGGCTGCATCCCTTTAGCCATCATTGCAGCATTGGTCGCATTTTGCGAGGATTGTTGATTGGAAGCTGCTGCTTCGAGAGTTTTCCGTCGTGGATCTGAGCGAACACATTGCGGCGGCGATTTCGGTGTCTCCTGCTTTATCTGTGGCGGTGGTGACATTGGCGAGTCAGCTAGTTGCTCGGATTTAGTGATACGGAAGATCTTGCGAAGGCGCGGATCATATTTGACCTGTGCATCATTCTTCGTTAGCTTGAGGCCAGTGTAATCCGGTCTGGGTATATCGACTACATAAACTTTGTATGCCATCGGTGGATGCGATGCGATACTTGCGTCGATTTCAGTGCATGGTATATGCGCAGGTGCCGGTTTGAATGGTAAACTCAGTATCTGCCGCAGATCCACATCGGATTTGACACGCAGATCTGTGTCACCAAAATCACCAGACTGGAAACGTTGTCGGAAATCCATGTCTTGTCGTCTGAGATCTTGATCCGCTCTCGTGCGAAGATCGGTGTCCATGTTAGCGTCTACTGCGGTGATACCGGAACTGTAGATGCTCGTTTCTAGCCTAAGAGGCTTCTGCTCTCTCTTCACATCAGAAGATATGCTAGGGCTGCTCGGTTTCTGCTCAACTTCTCGACGTTGCCTGGGATCCCGAGACATTCGTGGATCCCTGGATACAGACATTGTTGATGAACTCGGACCTGGTGATCGCCTCGGACTTGACGATGTCTCGCTATCCGTTTTTGTATCTTGCATTGATTTAATCTTCGACGCATCTTGATTCGAGTTCGCCGCTTGCTGCGTCTTGTTGTTCGTGGAACTCTGAGCCTTCAGGGTAGAAAGCAACTTAGATACTTCGGCACTGATATCAATCTTACTCAGGTCACCTAGTTTGTCCACAATAGCGGCCGGTTGAGGTACATTGGATATAGATGTCGCAGACTGGAAGTTCTCTTTGATAACAACATTCTGAGTCTTCTCAATGGATTCAATTTCGTCTTTCGAACTATCCACTATGGTAAGATTACCTCCCTCGTCATCATCATCATCGTCGTCTTCGTCATCCGAATACCAGTCTTCGATTATTTGATCGGTATTAGGTGCATCGGAATCGTTATCCATGTTTTTCAAACTGTCCTGGGCCGCGCGTTGCTGCTGTTGTATTCGCAAAAACAATTCCTGCGCCTTTTTTGGTAAGCGAGGCGGCATTGTCTCGTGAACTTCTATACATGAAGAAATGAGATGTTCACCTGTTAAACAGATATAATTGTTTTTTCTAATTATCTGTATGTACATAGTATTTGATATGAATTATATTAATAACAATGAAGATTAAAAGTAATATACAGAGTATCTCACAACTACCGCACTTTCTTCTTAGGAATGCATTCTTAAGGTAATTTTGAGACAAAAATGTTAAGGCTACAATAGTTTTGGAATTATAATTGGTTAAAGATAGTGTGTAATTCGAACTATTATAGAATGTTCAAAAGAATCCAGAAATAATAATAAGGGCTATAAAAGTAAAATAATTTTTAAGCATTTTACTTTTATAAGCATTTAAAGTTACGTTATAATTTAAAAAATTATTGTTCGATATTTTCATATTAGGATTTTCGTCTCAAAATTACCTCAAGAATATGTCCTTAAGAGGAAATGCAATAATTGTGAGATACCCTGTATAAAATATCAATTAGTAAAAAAATATAGGTAAACATTATTAAATATCTTATATATCTTTCAATATATGCAAAAGAAGGACAAAGAGCCAGTAATGTAATAACAAACTTTAATTAAAATTCAATCATAAATTATAAAACGACAAAACATTTCGGCTCCGCTCGAGTCATTTTCAATGTTGCGGTAATATTAAAACATCGCTATAAAAATATGTATGGTATTACATTCTTCATATCGTGTTGTGCCTTGCGAGTCAGTTATAATATATCAGAATTTAAAGTAGTCAGACAAACATTCTAGAAACGTGACAAAACATTAATACTTGATACAAGCGAATTAATAATATATGTAATATAATCATGTACCTAAAACTGTTGAGAGTCCATTAATAAAAAAGAGAGGAAACACACACAGATAGATGGTATCCATATCGCACAATGGTTTTTCAAAAAATTGTTTAAGCAAATTTGCAAGAGTAGCGAACATCTGACTTCCACAATATCGAATAACGTAATGTCGAAAACGAAAATACTAATCGAGAACGGAAAACGACAAAAAGGGGGGGGGGGGGGAGAAGATATTAGGAAGAAGGAAGAGAATGTATAATGCCAGAATATACGCTTCGGACAAAGACTCCGTGTCATTTTGTCTGTTTATTCCATGTTTCTGTTTTGTAATGTGTACTATTTCAGATATTAATCTTTTATTATATGAAGGTTTTATATCTAATATGTCCACTTTATCCCATTTAAAATTGTGATTCTCCTCCATACGGTGGTTAGAGATTACCGATGGAGATTTTGAACTTATATTAATATCTGAAACATGTTCATGCAGTCTAGTCTTTAACTGTCTTTTAGTCTGGCCCACGTAACTAACATCACAACTCTCACAGGATATTCTGTGAATCACATTTTGATTATGTACATGTTCCAGCCTATCTTTTCCTCTCTTTATAAAATTTTTTAATGTGTTAGGGACGGTAAAGGCCAATTTACAATTAAACATATTAACGATAGGTGTGAATCTTTCAGATGTTTTAATATTACCGCAACATTGAAAATGACTCGAGCGGAATCGAAACGTTTGTTTTGACGTTTTGTAATTTATGATTGAATTTTAATTAAAGTTTGTTACTACATTATTGGCTCTTTGCCCTTTTTTTGCATATATTGTTTTATACTTACAGAGCCTTATTATTATTTATTAATTTTATATATATTAAATATAATTGAGGAAAAGAAATTAAAAATAAGATAAGCCATTCTTACTTTGTTCACTATTGTGGAGCTTTCCCCTTTCCTTATCTTCATCTTCAGTTGGCACTTCAATAACGAGTTCTGATTCCTCATCTTGATCACTTTCGTCATCAAGTTTATTTTTAGTAAGACTTGCTACTTTATCGGCTATACTAAAGACAAGTGGTGGCGATTTCTTTGCATTTAATAACTGCCTCAAGTCAATATCTTTCCTCTTTCTCAACTGCAAATGTAGGTAATATAAGTTTCATAATAACTGTGCTAATATTGTAATTTTTAATTCAAATTTAGTTGTAATTCATAATAACAATATAAATCATAATATAAATTTGCGCAGTAAATAAATTTAAATTATATACCTCATCTGATATATTTGTTTCTTCTACGGTTTTCAGATGATCTTCTTTTGTTTTTTCAACAGTTTTGTTTGAGTCTGCAATTCTTTCGCTATAAAAATCTACAGGCGGTGCAGCAATTTGTGTTTGTTGAGTGGCTAAACCTAATGCCGCGTTCGGAAGTTGAAGCCCAAGTTCATTTGCTGACTGCATTAACATAATCTGCTCGTAAGGAACTCTGTCCTCATCTGATCCCCATCGCGTCTTTTTTCCAGAAGGCTTTCTTTCCCTCACATTAGCCTTTTGCTGATTTGTTTGTTCTTCTATTTAATAATTAAATAATTACGATTTTAATATAAGAATTAAAACGAATAAAAAAATAATATCACAATATTTTGTAAAAATTGATTAATTTCTATTTATTAAAAGAGAGGATTACCTTTATCCTCTTTTTCATCAACCTTTTCTACAGGTACTGATAAATTCAATTCGAAAAGACTAGGAATCTTTTGATTTGTTGTATCTTGACCTTGTGCTAGAGAACGCGCTGTATTATTTATCATTAATACTGCACCTTCTCTACTTAACCTTGGAAAATCACCAAGAATTTCCTTTGGTGCAGTTTCCAAGTGTTTTAAAAGAATACCTTTTATCTGAAAAATAAATCACAAAATAATTCAAATATAATTATTTTCAGTAATAAATTTAGTATATATATATATAACTTATTATTAATATTAATTTTATTAATATTATATTTAATTTTTTATTAGTATCAAATTTTTTTATTTATAGCTTATATGTTGACACTATAATATTTTTTTTGTAAATTAATACATATTATAATGTTATAAAATTACAATATACCTGTTCATTTAA